AAGAGAGAGAGAGAGAAGGAAAGAGATGGATAGGTGAAGGAGAGATTTTGATGTGGTGATGTTCAATTTGAGTATTAGGTGGGTCGAGATGGAGGAAAAGAGGGTTTGAGTGGTCAGCCTAGGCTACTCGGGTTTGTCAACAATAGCTGGTGGGAAGGAGAGGAGCGATGGAGGCAATCACAAGGTGGTCGCATGTGGGCAAGGGAACAACGATTGAGGGAGGTTTTGCGAGAGACCGAGGTGGTCGGGCTCACGTGGGTGTGTAGGAAGAGATGGTGGAGGATTGGGAGGATTTAAGTTGCAACATTAAGTTCGGACCAGAAGAGGGGCTATCAGCTATGAGTTTGTGTGGGTTAGAGATGAATGGAGTAATAAGGCACACGGGTCCGTGGTTGTAAACATTATAGTTGGAGCAGCGTGCAACACAAAGAGATGATGAGAGGAGGCCTGCGGTTAACTATATGCAAGAACAGAAAATGGAATTTTGCGGTACAAATGGGATCACGTGGCTACCTTGTGCGAAGCTGGAAGGAAAAAGGGAAAGAGGATTAGGTCTTTCAAGGGATAGGGGAGAAGAGAGGGAGTTACATCTCAATTAGTGTCCTTGTCCCTTCTCGCATAGGCACAATTTTGCACTTTCAATTGCAAAACATATGCAATATGAGTGTCTTGTATGAGTAATTTTGAAGTTCCTAACACAATGGTGCAATGCATTTCAGGAACGAATGTCGTTTGAGCGATTTCACGTATCGTCGTGTCCAAAGACAGTCATTTTCATAGTCACTCGAACGACTCACACGCAAGAGACTCTTTGATCAATTCAATGTCTTGAACGTGTCAGCATAACCTATTTCACAAATGGATGATGTCTAAGTAGTTGCACGCAACACCGAGATCTTTCGAGCTCACTACATTGCGGCGATCGATCACTGTCGAGGCATTAGGACTTGCTATGCGAGCGTTGTCATGTCGAGTGTCATTGTCATCGCACTCACTTGAATCGATTGTGGAATTTATATGGAGGTCAACATAATTGGTGGCCTTACTTTTTAAAATTAAAAAAGTGCTCTTTCTTGACTTAAATGTGTGCTTATTATTACAAAGATTCGACATGTTACAATGAATTCAACTTACATCTCATTTTTATCTCCTATTTCAAACCCACCAAGAAACCCATCATAGCCCACACTACAAGAATATATATGTTCATTTAAGTCATCCATGTTAATTATCCTGTTCCTTAAGTGGACATCATAATAGCACATTGATTTCTTCCTAAAATTAATTTTTCAAACCATCTTTTAATACAAGTTGAAAATAATGAGCAAAAACAACATTTATAGCAGCATCGCTAATAATCCACTTAATAATAATCTTATCTTTCAACGTTATATCTACTATCATCGCCATCAATATTTCTATTGTTAGCCTTCCAAGCATGCAAAAGCCTATAATCTTTCCCAATGTCTCTTGATTTTTCACTGTTCCATTAGTTTATTGCAAACAAGAGATCTTTATTTTTATTCCACTCAGTGAGTCCACTAATTTTCTTATATTTCCCTTAAAGTATACAAAACATAAAGGAAATCTAATTATGACTTACAACTAGTCAACCCTTGGCAACTTCTCATAAAGATTATGCTAGGTTGTGGCACTCACTTACAGTTAGCGTCCTAATAAATCTTCTGCCTACTTCTCATGACAATCAAATTAACTAATAGCAAATTGTTTCTGGAGAACCCTAGAACTAATGAAATTAAAAGTTGGATTCATTTTCTGAATTATTGCATAAGCTTTAGAATCAGCTATCAACTTAACATCAACTCTACACATTTCTCATTCAAGCGTGAGATCAACAATGGATTTTAAACATGAGATTGATCTTTAAATATTTATCAATCATGAGTGTTAAGCTTTCATAGACAAACCAACTGAATTAACTAAAATAATTCACAGAATTTAAACAAGCCACCAAACAAGCTGCGTAGAATTAAGCCAAAACAATCAATTTTTACATGTTTGTTCAGTTTAATTTGGATTGGTTTGTTCTTCGGTTGTTTTGCTCGCCTCCTAGAAATTGGTCTATTTGGGAAAAAAAAAACCAAGCAAACCATCGGCACAAAATTATATTTCATTGAACCATCTATAGATGCAAATATAAAAAACACATAAAAAAAGAAGATGAAAGCATCATCATATAATCTGCATTTCACCAAAACGATGCTTCAACCAGCACACAAACACCAAGTTAACAGAGGTTTGCAATCTAAATGGAGATTGTGAGAGTTGCAGGTCAATCGTGTTCCCACATAGCTAAAAGAAAAAATGCTTAATATTCCAACAAATAGTAATGATATGGTGTTTATTGTTAGTGACAATATTTTGCAACATCCTAATAACTCCTAACTGATTTCTGATGTGACTTCTTATGGTGGTTATCAAAAAAATTGTCAAGTGAATAATATTATTGCTCCTAAATTCTAATGATTAGATACAAAGACATAATGCATATAGAACTAGAGGCATCGTGGTGTACAACAGGGCACATATTGCCTTTTGGTTATTATATACCATTACACATAGAGAAAAATCTTGAGATTCGTTGTGATTGATATTTCCTACAACTTCTACCAACAAATGAGTAACGGCTATTCCATATTAACTACGGAATTAAATAATGTGCACGTCATAACAATGACCGAAATGAACTAAACCATGAAACCATGTAGAAAATTGATTGAATCATTAAATCCCCAACAGCAACAGTCCAACTTTGACCAACTTGAATGATTTCCTATCTAAGCGCTAGAGAGAGAAGCTCCCGTCTAGAGAGAGAAACTCCCTTTTTCAAATTTCTGTTTCCCAGTTTTTGTTCCGTCTTGTCCGGCAGGGTGCTAGGGGATGGCGGCAGATGGCCGCCGGCCATCATCGGTAATGTCAACTGTGGGTACACAATCTAATGACAGTATGATTGTTCTAAATAAAGGAGATGTCAGTAATCATAATGTTGGCTTGAATAAAGAGACTGTGGAAGTTCATAAAAGAAGATCTAATGGTCCTTTAATCATAAAGAAGAATGTAGGTAATGTTTCTAACAAAACTCTTTGTTTAAGGTAAAGGCAAGGGCATTTTGAATCATTATGATTGCAAAACACCTCGCAAAGTAATTTCTCCTGTAGCGTCACCTTTGAAATCACTTGATCTGCATACGTCTTCTACGGGCATGAAAATTTTTGTCAATATATTCGAAAATTTAAATGCAATCCTTGGCAACAGCGTAATAAATACGAATTCCCTGATATCTGTTAACAAAAATCTTCATCCAATGGACGATTTGGAAGGAAATAGCTCAATTCAGGTTTCGGATGTTTCAAATGTTGATGGAGGTCTCAGTATTAAGTCTGATTTTAAGGATGTTGTGGCAAGAAATAATATTATTCTGGGAGATGATCTTAATACAGTGCGTGTTTGCACTTCAAGCAATCTAAATTCTGTGAATGAATAGAATAATGCTGCGGCTAGAACTAGTTCTAAAGATCTCGAGGGAAATGTTTTGCTGAATGCTTGATTTAAAAAGCCTAATATCAGGATGGATAATAGGGATTATGGAAATTGCTTAACTGAGGATGGACAAGCTGTTAAAATGAATGAAGTTAATGAGAAGTAAAATATTTTGAAGCTACAAATGTCAGTTGTGGTGAAGATATTTGGTGATAACATCCCCCTTCATGTGATTAATGGTGAATTGTGTAGACAATGGGCTCGCTTTGGCAAATTTCATTTAACTATGCTGGGTATGGGTTGGGTCCTTTGTGCTTTCAATGAATCGGAGGATGTAGAAGTTGTTCTATCTAAAAGACCTTGCTATGTGAATGGACATATCATTGGTATTGATAAATGGTCGCCGAGTTTTTCTCCAGGGTCATTAAAAGGACTTGCATCTCCGGTTTGGATCAGAATGCCAAACTTACCTTTGCAATATTGGGATGAAGTTAATATATGTAGAATTGCTTCAAAAATAGGCAAACCGTATATGCTTGATGGTAATACATTCCAATGGCGGGTGGGGGGGAGTTTTCTCGAGTTTGTATTTGTATTCAGTTGGATAAACAGCTTCCCTTGGGTGTTTGGGTTGAAGGAAGCTTTGGTAGATTTTTTCAAATATTGAATATGAGCGAATTTTTAATTTATGTTATAAATGTGGTAAAATTGGTCATCAAAGCAGCAAATGTTCAAGCCTAGATGGAGATCAAGGTGTAGCTCATAAAGATTTAACCAATAATGAAGTTACTGTTCGGGATAATGGTGCTAAGTCTAATGTTGAAAAAGCTGTTGGTATTGATGCTCATTCCAACATGAATCCTACTTATGGACCTTGGATTCATGTAAATTATGGGAAAGATAAAATGAAGAATGATATGAAAGGAAAAATGTTGCTACTCCAGCCAAAATACCTAAAGTGAATGGGTATAATAAGGTTGCTTTGGGTATGGTTGATAAAAAAAAAAAATTTGAGGATTCAACAGAATCTACTGATTTGATAAATGTTGACAAGGTAATCAGTCCTGCCTCCGAGACGTTACCTGATGTTGTACATGATGTGGTTAACCCTGTAGAAGTCACGGGCTGTAAGTCTAATTCTCCTTCTTCTACTCATTATGTAAACAAGTTTAGTGTGTTGGCAAGTTTAGTGTGTTGGCTGATGGTGATGAGGAGCTTGTCCATTTCAATGCTATGGACCGTGAGGCCCTGAAAGTGGAAGATAGTGGGGAAAATGTCAATAATTGTTTTGAAAAGGATAAGTCTCCTAAACAGATTTATGAGAAATCTGATGTAAAATGTGTTGAAGGATTTGATGCAAATGAAGGGGGATCATCTCTTGCTAAAAGGACTTTGGCTAAAGAACTAAAAAGTCTAGGTCCTATCAAAATATCTAAAATGAGAAGAAATGAATTGGGAAAGAAAAATGGTGTGGGGGCTGATCCCCATCGAATTAATTAATGGCTTCCATCGCTTTTTGGAATTGTAGAGCGAAGAAAAGTCAGGCTTCTCTATATCTAAGAGAATTTGTGAAGGAGTTTGATGCCTTTATTGTTGGGTTGTTGGAAACCAAGATTTCTTCCATAGACAGGAAGGGAGTGCATAAGCTTATCGGAATGGATTGGGACTTTGATTATGTTTTAGCTGATGGATTATCAGGTGGAATTCTTATTTTGTGGAACTCCAAGGTATCTTCGTTTAATGTCTTAGAATCTTTTTCTCAAGGTATTATTGGAGATCTTGATGTTTTTAACAAGGGTGTTTGGCGTATCTCTAACGTGTATGGGAGTAATGACATTGTTAAAAGAAGAGAATTGTGGAGGAAAGTAGAACAGCTTTCCTCCAAGGATTTACCTTCAGTAGCGGGTGGGGACTTCAATTGTTTGTTGGATAGTGGAGACAAAAGGGGTGGGAGAGAATTCAGTTTTTCACAAGGTTCAAAGGAAATGAAATCATTTCTTATCAATAATGATTTTCATGATGTTGGCTTTATAGGACCTCGTATCACTTGGTGTAATAACAAAACAAATGGGGCTCGGATCTTGAAGAGGTTAGACAGATGTTTTCTGAATTCTAAAGCAATTGAAGTTATCTCAATGGGTGGTGGTAAAGCATCTTGCAAGGGTGGCTTGAGACCATTGCCCTATTTTAGTTAATCTTTTGAAAAATAACTTCAAAATGAAAAGAAATATCAGATTTGAAGATTCTTGGGCTTCTTACCATGTTTAATATGCTGTGGTGGCCAAAGCTTGATCTAGGAAAGCCATTGGTAGTCTTTCAGAAGTTCTTCAAATTAAATTTAGAAGGGCATTGAGAGCTTTATTTTTCTGGAGTAATGCTAAGCTTCTAGATCTTAATTCATTGAAATAACGTCTAAAAAAAAGAAATAATGGAATTGCAGTTAGAGGAGGCTAAAGAAGGTTATCTTTTGGTGGAGAAGTTGGTTACTCTTAGGTCTAAAGTGGAGGAGCTCAATTGTACCTTAGCTAGATTGAATACTTGGTGGAGACAACGTTCAAAGGTGAGATGGCTAGAGGAAGGTGATACAAATTTCAGATTTTTCCACTCTTTTGCAAGCACTAGGAGAAATTCAAATTGGGTTTATAAGATTAAAGATGAGTTAGGAGATATGGTAAAAGATCCAAAGCAAATTGAAGAAGTTTTTATGGACTATTTTAGCAACAAATAGAGGCATAGGGAGTGTTCTTTATGTGGCTGGCCGCCACCATTGAATATGTTGAATGATGAAGACAGAAACTTTTTGGAGGCTGAATGCTATTGGGAAGAAGTTTTGGAAGTGCTGAACCAGCTTGGTGGATTTAAATCGCCATGTAATGATGGAATCTCTTATTCTTTCATTAAGATCTATTGGAATATCATTAAAATTGATATGTGGAATGCTATTTATCTTTTTTTAGCTTCTGGAATTATGGATGATAAGTGGAAAGAGACCTTAGCGGTGCTAATTCCAAAGATTGAAAATCCTTTATTGCCCTCCAATTTTAGACCTATAAGCTTATGCAAATCTATTTACAAGATTGTGGCAAAAATTCTTTTGAATAGGATGCTAAAGGTTATTCCAAATTAATTTCGATAAAACAAGCAGCTTTTTTTAAAAAATCGTTCTATGTCAGAGAATGTGTTGTTGGCTCAAGAGATCTTCCACAAATTCAAATTTTCTAAATCAAAAAGGGGTTTGCTTGCTTTTAAAATTGATATGGAGTAGACATATGATAGTACGGGGTGGGCAACTTTGAAACAAGTTCTTCATTACTTTGGATTTCCTGTTAAGTTTTCTAATCTGATTTTGGAATGCATGGAATTTCCTTCATTTTCTATCTTGGTGAATGGGAGGAGTTATTCAAATTGGATCAAGGCTCTTTGTGGATTTCGGCAAGGTTGCCCTCTATCCCCGTTTTGGTTTATTCTTTTCTCTCAGTTACTTTCAAATGCATTGGCTCTTAAAGAAAATGAGATTGGTATCAAAGTTTACTCAGGTGTTCTATCTCACATTTACTATATGCCAATGATGTTATGATTTTTTCTGATGCTTCTCTCAAAATGGTTAAGAAAGTCAAGAACATCTTATTAGAGTATTGCAGTTGGACGGGTCAGAATATAAACTATGATAAATCTATAGCTCTTTTTGGAAATTCAACGAAGAAAAGGAAGAAAAAATGATATTCCGATTAATGGGGTTAAGAGTGGTTAAGGAGATGACTTACTTGGGAGTGAAGATTGCATTAAAAAGACTTGGAGTTAATGATTTTGGATCTCTTATTCAAAAGACGTTGGGTAGACTACAAACTTGGAGCAACAAAAACATCTCATTGCCAGAAAAGCTAACTTTAGTAAAATATGCTATTCTAGCTCTTCCTTTATTTCAAAGTACGCACTCTCTTGTTCCTAGAAGTATACTTTCAAAGATGGATAGAATGTGCAGGGACTTTATATGGCATAAACATTATGGCAAGTTGGGGATTCATTATGTGAGCTAGGATGTTCTTTGTTTTCCAGGTAAATTGGGTGGCCATGATCTTCACTCTTGCATCAATAAGGTTAGCCCCTCAAGAGCTAAATTTGCTTGGAATCTTCTTAGTGGTTCTTCTTCTTTATTGTATCAAGTTATGGCTGCTAAATATGGAATGTGTAATTGGAATACACAAACTAAGAAAGGTGTTTCTTTGGTTTGGAAAATTTTTATGAAAGGATGTAAGGCTATTGCTCCGGTTGTTAAATGGAAAGTGAAAGGTGAAAAATCTATCAATGTGCTCAAAGATGTTTGGTTGATGGATAAATGCCTTATTAGGTGGCCAACTTTTGTTTCGGTCTACTTAATGGAGGACACGAACCTTGATAAGTTCATTACTCATGGAAGGTGGAATTTAGAAGAACTGAAGACTTGGTTTAGAAAAGAATTGGTAACTATCATTTCTCAAATTCAAATTTGTTCTGAGCTTACAGAGGATAGTTTGGAGTTCATTCATTTTCAAATAGGGAAAACACTTTCTGCCATTATTTCAAAAGTTTCTGCTTCAGTTAATTTAATGGGAGGAGATATCTATTGGAGTTGGCTTAAAAAACTAAAACTCATGCCACGGGTTGAAAATTTTTGGTGGAGAATGTTTCATGAAGCAATTCCAACATTTGGTTTTTTGGTGAAAAGGAGATTGAGAACGGATGATGCCTATCCTAGGGGATGCTTAGAGACGGAAAACATTATCCATGTGATGTTCGATTGCTCCAAACTGACCAGTTATCCATATTATTAATAATTGGGGTTTCTTGTTGCCAGTCTTTACTTCTATAAAGGAATGTTGCATGTGGTTGGAAAGATATGCTGGTAAAAATTCTCTTCTTGTGAAATTATATTGCATTTTGGTTTTCTTGAATTGAAAATCAAGGTGTAAACTAGTTCATGGAGAAAATGAAGATTCTTGCTTATACATAGCTGCTCAAACTATTTCTCTAGCATCGTTTATTGATAAAGGAGCTCTTAAATAGGGCTACTAGGGTGTTAATCAGCCTAATAGGTTGTTGATTAAGAGTTGGCACCCTCCTCCACCCGGTTGGCTTAAAATTAATGTGGATGCTTCTTTGTTTCTTTCCAACGAGGCGACTGTAGGTGGAGTATTCAGAGATTTTAAAGGAAGATTTCTTTTGGCTTTTGGTTTCAAGGGATTGCATTGAGATGTTGCTCGGTTGGAGTTATTGGCTATTCAAGCGTTAAAGGTCATTCTACAAGAGTGGATGTTGGATTATGAAGGTATTATTATTGAAGGAGACAATGCAAATGTCATTAATTTTTTGCATGACCTTAACAAAGATCTGAACAAGAAGTTTATCTCATATGGGATGGAAGAAATTGATTTTCTCAAAGAATTCCAAAATGTTATTTTTAGTAGAGTTAATAGAGATTGTAATAAGTTAGCTAATATGTGTGCTAACATTGCTCATAATAGTAATTTTGTTTGGAATAATTGTAGTTGGGAATCTATTCCTCCTTACTTTATTAGCTTGTTAAAGGAGTAAAGTGATCCCTTTCTTAGTTTGTAATCTCTTTTCCTTTTAATAATAATGCTTATGCATTTGTCAAAAAAAAAAAATGATTTCCTATCCTGCAACAGGGTCAATTTCTACCAACATGGATCAAATATTTGCAGCGGATAAAATCAAGAAGATGGTGGTACATACTCATACAACTCCAAAAATAATATAAGTAACACAAAACCATTACCATTATGGCGCAAAATAGATCAAGCCTCATCTCAAATGAAGACATGCCTCTTGGGGAAAAAAAATCAAATCAAAATGAAAAGCTATCATCGTATCAACAGGATCACTATAGAAACTGTTATACCTAGTGCCTTTAACTGCTGCTGGCCTATTGTAAGCTTCTACCAGGATGTACTATAATATCTTTGCAACTTACTAGCAGAAAATTCCTAGCATATGTGAGAATTTCAAATTAAATGATCGTTACCACATGAAAACATACCGTTATCCAATTATTTCAAAAAAGATTTATTATGAAAATGAGAATGGAACAGCCAGCCTACCTTATAAATTTGATAAGAGATTCATTTAAGGAGATTCAATTGGAACTGCAATAATACAGTATCTAACACTGACAATTCTCAATGCGGAAGAGATGGTGTGTGGTTCCTAGTAAGCACGTATACTTTTGCAACTAATAAATTCAAATACATTGTTCTAAAACAACAAATGTGGTTATTCAAACACATGTAATGAATGCAGCATAAGTGCAAAGGAGAACATACCACATGCTTATTGGCATCAAATTTTGCTCTTAGCTCATCCGCCTGAAAAGAGAATAAGGTTAAAGATAAAAATTTCGCACAATGCATATTATTGAAGACAATTTGTTTCAGAAGTTTTTTTCATTAGCAATAAAAAATTTCATCAAGAAGGAAAAACAGTCTGTTCACTGACAGAAGAATAATGTTGAAGCAAATCCAAACCTAAGAGGCATTTTTTGATATATTCATCAAAGCCCTAGATTACTGGCAAAGTGAGGCCCTACTATTTGATTACCTGTGTTTCTATGATATAGAATAACAATGCGCTACACAGTTTGAGTCATAACTACTACTCGTAAAAACTAATTCAAAAAGCTAAGTATGCTCCGGTCAATTAGGTAAATGCATAACAACTAAGCATATTTGTGACGTAAGGCAAGACAACAAAGGGTTGCAGAAAATGGACATATATAACTTAAGATTTCTTGCCATGGGCTGTTTAGAAAATATTTTGTGACATAGCTTCGGCCAATTAGGTATCAGAGAAAAATATATTGTTGTCTATTATCTTTGCCTGCATTTTATCAATTTAAAGCAATCTTATCTTGATTACAGTGATTTTTGTTGTTTAATTTAACTCTCCTTTCTCTTTCTTTAGCTAACTTTTCCGTCATGTGCCTCTTCTCTCTTTCACCATGAAGAAAGGGCAGCAAAACTCAACTCTCCATGCAATTTCCTGATAGGAAACACTTGAAGATCTCAAGTGAAAACTTACCAATCTTGGAAAAATAGCAAAAAGTATCCACCAAACTCCGAGGAAAAACCAGAAAACAGCGATTTTATTGCAATAATAAAATATAACGGAAGGAAAATATCAGAATACAGTTGATCCTCAA